CTGACGGGCGGAGAGTGGGACAAGGAGAAGTAAGAGGGGGCGTAGTCCCCATTGGTTCGGCAGATGGCGTCCACAGCCAGCCTCCTCCTCTGCAAAGTGTCCACTATGTCCTGCAGGTCGCTCCCGGCCCGGCCTGACCTTGTAGTTCTCAGACTGGAGCTGCTCTGGCCAAGGCTGTACTCACCCCCGTATTTTAAGTAATCTGGAAGAAAAAGAAACATTTTCGAATCATGCATTGTTAAGCAGAACCAGTGTCCTGTCCTGGCAGCAATCTGCTGCAGCCCCCAGACTCGTGTCCCTTGTGCACAGAGCCGCATCTTGAACCAGTTTACAGCGCAGTGCCAGGCACAACACCGGAAAACCCTTCCTAAAAACAACACGTGCCCGTGGCGGTCAAGAACAGCTGAGTCAAGAATGAAAGAGCGCTGAATCCCATGTTTTCATAAACCTTTCCACTCCCCCCCCACATCAAAACAAGCCCGGAGACTTCAAAAGCAGCTGGATGCCATCCCCCAGCCAAGCGCCTGCTGATCCCTGTGGGAGAAGGCCAGACTCCATGTGGGAAGAGCTCCACGTCCTGCAACACTGGGCTCTCAACCACTCAGCTAGACCACAGAGACCACCTGGATCGCCTTCCTCTCCACTACAGCTCCCCCTGACAGAGCACTAACCCACAACAGGTACTTGTTAAAGGGTGGGACTGAATGAACACTCTGTCAACATTACCCTAAATTATACCTCTCAAGTATAAGGCAGCATTTAAATAGTCAAAAATCATATCCCTCACTTATTAACTACATTTCACAACGTCCCAGGCACAGCTTTCATGCACGCAGTTCAGCAATTGAAAATAGAACACAATTTGGCTTAACCAACCACACAAAAAGTCCTTCATCACTGCTGTTAAAATCTAGGAGATTTTTGAGGGAAGAAACCCAAAATCAATTCCTTCCCTAGAATCCAAAACCAAGGTCTTAATATTTCAAGATCACAGCTAAATTTATAAATAGATCATTTGTAACCTGCCATCGCTGTCTGCAAAGATATGATTTAAAAAAGAGTTGTAAATACACCTTTGCCTTTACCGGTAGAATCAGCACAAGAGCCTGCAGGTCCTCTGATATAAAGGGAGCAATCTGTTATATAACCACGGCCTTCAGTGAGCTTGTTATCAGGCAGTTAGTTTCCCCCCGCGCCCTGGTCAGAGTAAGCAGTACACACCGTCTTCACTAGCAGTTCTATTCCAGCCCAGTATCCCTCTGGGAATACAAACACGGATTAAAGGAGTGCTCCCACATTCCAGATCTCGGGAATCCACTCCTGCCGACTCTTCCACCAGACAAGCTCTCACTTAATCAAATCCTTAATTTATCTAATGAAGTTGTCTGTTCTGTACATTTTCAGGGCTTTTATCTGCATGCAGCACAGAAATGATAAATTACCTGTAGAAACCACGACACTTGAAAGGACACCTCCGATGTGTTGGAGAGTAACAATGAATCACATTATTTGGACAATTACGCCAGCACCTCAGGACCTGTGGGACGTCCCATCTCACAAGAGCCTGGAAAGGTGCACCACCAGCTTTTACACATAATACACAATGTGCCACAGTCCTGGCTTTTTCCTTTAGAAAACCATTATTTCCCATGCTGTGTTCTAAACCACTCTGTATAATACGACAAAGAAGAACTGCTCTCAGGATTAGGAACAAGAGTTTCAGCGCCGTGTGCCGCCGTAACATTTTTACAACTGGAAACGAGCGTCTGGAAAACTGGAAAAAAATATATATACACATACAGTATATAAAAAACAGGAGAGAAGAATTACCTACGGAGCCAACAGTGGTCACCATCCTTCCTCCCAGTGGACCTTACAGTATCGCATTAATGCCCCAGCTACACCATCAGAAACAGAGGCCCTGGGTGTGAGGCAGGAAGAGTGACTGAGAGTCCCACACCTTATCCCAAGCAGGCAGTCTGATTACTCACCCTGCAGAGTCAGAACTCAGCACCTTCTCCAG